TTTTTATGTTCCCAATGTTTCCCCCTGAAATAAATGTTATAACTAGTAAGACAGTGAAGGCATCAAGGAGTACAGCAAGTAACTTTGCATTTCCCTTCTGTCTGTGCATTGATACAATGGGTAGAGTAATATTACGTTTGAACGTCCTATTCTGAAATAATCTGAAAAAAAGCAGAATAAGCCGCTGTGTCCACATAGTGTCATTTTCTGGCAGAAAGGCACTGGCCTCCGAACAACACTCCAGCAAAAAAACACTCCCAGCGCTTTTTCAAATGTTTCTATGACAATGATATCTAAATATAAGATACGATTTATTTTATTTATCCCAATTTAATTTGTAATATCGCATCACAATTTCCATTTGGGCTACTTTATATTTGTTTGACAAACACCAACTACAAGATGGTTGCTCTCACACATTGTTTGGATGAGCTTCACCGCTCAGTCTGACAGCTGTCGAGTCAGGAGGGCGAAGTCATCAAAACGCTGACCGGCAACAAGGTCCAAGTGTCTGGCTGCAGCCTGTCCTCCTACAAAAAACGACCAGATAGGTCGATTGTTTAAGCAGCTTAGATTACGACCCATAGCCACTTTTTAAAGTGTAGCACCTCTAGTGGTCGTGTAAGAAACAACATGCTCGTTTAACGTTTATTCGTTTATTCACAAATAAATAACCCTCTCTGGAAAATCCTAAATTGTAGAATACTTTGGCCATTAAAATGCTTTTTGATTAGATTTCTAGCGAGAAGTGTATATTGTACTTTTAGAATCCACGCCGAGTGGATGTGTAGGATCTATAGTTTGATAGATATTACGAAGATGATTTGAGTTCTCGCCAGGATAACGTGTATCTTCCATGTAAAGTTAGCGTGGGTGAAAACAGTTTTTCCGGTCTCGAAGTTTTCATAATAAAACCGGATATATTCCCCTCACTGTCAAATGATTACACAGTGATATCTGCATTACTCATCCACTAAAAAACATCAGTTTATCCTTGTTAATTACACAATATTGATTGGGTTTAAATTGTGTACAATGCTTTTGTGTTTTTAACCTTCGATTGAGAGAAACAAATAGTTTTTTAGGAGTTTAGACACTACAGTTTCCGAAGACACTACACTACCCAGAATCCCCAGCTATCGTTGGGACTACTACATCCGCCTTGCTTTACAAACCCTGTGATTAGTCATCAAGCCCTGTGATTGGATGTTGGAGTGGCAGTGCAACAAGGTTACGCTGAGCGTCAACAGCTCTTTGAAATGGAATGGAACCACGGCAGACTTTCCAAGACTGGAATTGGACGGGTCCAGCCCATACATCCATGGTCCAGCCCCCCCCACCCCACGTCTCTTTATAAGACATTTTCGTATTTCCCACAATTAGTAGTTGCCAGTATTAAACTGTGTACACCCTGGAGGTTTAGGGGATACGAAACACAGTGGTGTTACCAAATGTAAAACATATAATTAATAAATGGGTGAATTAATATACCCACATGACACCTAAGGTCAGAAGAGCTTTATTTAACAGCTGGTCTTATGTCTGTGACCCCTCCTGTTGTTCATTGATAAGCCTGAAACATACACTTGTCAAGGTTCAGAGGCACATTTTGCAAATATGGCAGTAGCCATCGATCATCTTAAGATAAGATAAGATATACTTTATTGATCCCAAGTTGGGAAATGTTTTTGTTACAGCAGCATACTTTGTTCTACTTCACTACAATTCAAAGGTTAACCTGGTATTTTTACTCCACTACATGTATTTTAGTTACTTTGCAGATTCTGATTAATGATGTGAAATATAAACAACCCTTAAATCAGACTTTAGTTACACCTGAGTCAAATTCAGGGAAGGTGATTGTCAAGTGCCAAAATAAACTATGCAATATATTAGACGTTAAGTACTTTGTCAGACTTCATATTTATCTGTGGATAACCCCAACGTGTTTTTCTTATTCAAAAGAAGACCTTAACTTAAAGTAATCTTAATGTTTAAATAAAGCCTTATTAGTTTGTCTGTTTTGCACATCCTCCTGTTAATATGTTTGGACGTCCTGCACTAAACTGTTTTATTGTAGAGATCACTACAGTATCTTCTTGATATTTTCTATTCTATATTTCTATCATTGACCTTCTACTTTCCCCCAATGTTGTATGTAGGCTACTCTTAATATTTAAATGTTTTCATCAAATAAAACGTATTCAACAACAAAATTCAATAACGTGCTTTAACCACTAGGCGGCGCGGGTTAAAAAACCAGTGGTGTAGTTAATAAAACATAATAATATCAAACATAATATGACTATTAACTTTATTGTGAAATTAAAACAGAACGGTAAAGGAAAATACAGTTTCAGTCTCTCGATTTGAAGCTTATGCATTGTACCATGAACCTGTATAGACCTGTAACAGTCAACAGCATGAGGAGTTGGAAAGGTAGTTCAGAAAATCAGTAATATCTTTAAAAACTACAAGTCTCTTTCTATCAGCTGTGCACCGTTATGGTGTAAATACAGCCTATCTACCAATTGGATCAAATATAAAAGTCAGCCGAATTAGTGTTGATACTGCAAGGAGACGTATTGTGTGAAAAGAAATGGAAGATGTTGTTTAATTGCTAATATATTTATGATCCACGTCATGTATTCAGTTTTGGCGGCATTTCTTACAGTTTGTCAAAAGGTCTTCTCATCAGGGCTCTATAAATAAATATCTACGGCAGATATGTAATATTTAATGCAGCCGAACCGTGTATTACAATGCCGTTATGTGATGACTTCCAAAGAGAAAAGCAAGAACACTCGGAATAAAGTATTATTTTATTTAAAAAAAATGTTTTTCCGATTTCATATCGGATAACCACCATATCCCGACATGCATTGCGGCGATGTTTTAGCCTATCAAAACCTCTGAAAAAATAAAGGTGTCTCTCAGAATCTAAAGAGAAAAACCTATGGGAAAAACACAAAAGCAGTGTACACAATTTAAACCAATAAATGTCGTATAATTAACAAGGATAAACTGATGTTTTTTAGTGGATGAGTACTGCAGATATCACTGTTAAATCATTTGATCATTGGTTTTATTATGAAAACGTCGAGACCGGAAATACTGTTTTCAACCCGTAACTTTACATGGAGGCTGCCGCATACCTCAAATCATCTTCGTAATATCTATCAAACTATAGACCCTACATATCGACTGGACGTGGATTCTAAAAGTACAATATAGACTTCTCGCTAGAAATCTAATCAAAAAGCGTTTTAATGGCCAAACTATCCTGCAATTTAGGATTTTACAGAGAGGGTTATTTTTATGAATAAACGACCATCTGTAACGTTTGCATTCAACGGGAGCACTAGAGGGCGAAAACTTTAAAACGTATTTATAGGACGTATTAAGCGCTTGAACAAACGACATATTTGGTCGTAATAATTGGGCCTGAACAATCGGCCTATTTGGTCATATTAGTTGGAGGACTTGTTGGTCTGGCTGCCGATCTGTTTAGACAAATGGGCTTTTTGGATCTCTGTTAGGAGTTTTCCATCTAAAACACCAGGCCAAAAACAAGCCTCTACTCCTATTTCTCCAATCACGTCACCAGAACATTTCTGAGAGGTTGAAATATTTTCAACTTAAAGCTCTCAGATAGGCTGCACAAAACTCATTCAAAACGATTTACTTATCTTGTCCGCTAAGGGTTAGCATTACAGACAGCGAATAACCTACACACAACAAACAGCATCCATAAATGAACAAAAACAAAAAACATGGTTCAACGACAGACATGATTGGATCAATCCGATTGAATAAAAATGCTTTGTCTGCGATACCCATATTGTTGTACAAATATGTGTTGTACATAAGACATACAAATATGCCGCTCTTTATTTCTACCTAACAGACAATGACTCAACATTATTTATAATGGGTATTGGATGCCCAAAATGGTTGCAGGATTACAAAACTATGCAAGGCTCTTAACTCTTAACTTGAGGTGTATACCATTTTGATGTAAGTCTGCCTTGTAGCCATATCCAATCTCTAGCATATCTGACACATGACAAATGTTGTTTCATGTCGATCTTTAGAGTTTGCTAGCAGTAATCCAGCATCTGGAGTTGGCTTGGGATATTGGCCTGTTCTCATAACCTACAGAGGAGAGGAAAGGATCACAGCGACAGGGCAAACTGTTTATGTCTCTCTGTCGCTAATCCATCAAAATCCCAGTCAACACTGTCTGAGACTGGCATTCCTCTTCAAACACCACGCTTCCTCTCATTCCCCAACTAACAAACACTGCTGCAGCTTCCTAATCCTTGATTATACAGTCTGCAACAGAGAATTGGGAGATAGAAGCTCCAATCCTCCTATTTCGTTTGGCCCATTTTGTTGAAGGCCATTTTTCTTCGCACCTCTCTGGAATATATTTTATATTTTAGTCCTCCGGCTTTCAGCTGCTGCTGTTATGCAGGGCGACTCGAAGCCATTAGGAGAGTATAACCTGGCTCAAGGGCGTCTGGACATGTGTGATGATGGATGGATTTACTCACAGAGAGATAAATAGGACCTTGAGGACTTTATGGTGAATTAATTAGTCTGAGTTTGTCTTGAATAAGTCATAACATGATTAGCAAATGTAAGTACGTGTTCCCAGTAACATACTATGCGCGCAAATCCTTTACATTTTCAGCCAACATTGGCCCGTCTGAGCATGATTTTGTTCTGCAAACATTGTCTTCCTTGTTGTCACTGTTTCTTCAACTCGAATACTTTTCTGTTCTGGTATCAAAAAATGATGTACACACAAAGGAGGCGGATATCTATGATGTCGTGGATATAATTCCCCCACAGTATCTTTTAACACGTCTTTTAATATCAATGACTTTCCAAATGACAGAAGCCACCTAATTTTCATTGCAATAGTCAAATATTAAAATAATTACAGACAATGTATGCCTAATGTTTCCTTTTCCTTTGTTTCGTCTCTTCTCCAGCCCTCCCCGAAATCCCACTAGGATCTTCTCTTCCCTGTTGGAGTCCTTCTCCACCCCCAACATCCAGCAGCCATGGCAGAGGACGCGGACATGCGCAATGAGCTGTCAGACATGCAGCAACGCGCCGACCAGCTGGCCGATGAGGTGAGAACAATACGCTCCATGCATCACTGTGGATTCAGTTGTGATGATGCATGAACATGATGGCACGCATGCTTGCATTTATGCACACTTACTCACGGAGAATACACTTGAGCACATTCATAGGCATACAAATGAGAAGTGAACATCGAAGCTATTATGCTTTTTGGGATGTTACCTTCCCTGTAGTGTGTTATATACATTTGTGTGCATGTAAATGGTCTTCAAAGGCTAAAATCCCTAAGTTCCCTCCAGAGGGAGTTTCTCTCCCACACACTCCCCCCCCCCCCCCCTGCCTGAAATGCCTCCATTGGACTCCTTTGTTTGCTTCTATTGACTAGTTCTCCAACAAAGTGTACGTGATATGCTAAGGTGAAGGACATCTCTAAGTGGTTGACCAGTCATAACAGAGCTGGCCAGCTAACCAATCAGAGCAGACTGGGCTCTGGTTTCAGACAGAGGGTGAAAAGAGGTGCTGCAGCACAGGCAGTATGAGAAAAATAAAGAGCTTTTTGAACATTGAAGCATGGAGACATGTCACAGTAGAGGCAGAACATACAAATATGAACCTGAAAGTGTGCATAGTAGGGCCCCTTTAAAGAGACTTTGAAATTGGAATGACTATTTTTGAAATTGGTACAGTCCAGTAATGAGCAAAACAATTGCAGAAGGCAGACAGTAAAAGGTCCAAACCATCAATGTATGTCGACTAAACTTTTTTTTGTGTAGGCCTACAGGCTTACCCCTAGTTTCCACCGGGTGGATGTGTTGCTGTATTTTGGATGTGTTGCTGTATTTTAGTGGTAAAAAAATGCATTCATCATCATAATTATTCTATATATATCATTTACACAGTGCCTGTAAACCGGAGAAGAGCGCTGGCATTTCTCCGAAAGACTATGGAGGGATAGGGTCTGCAAAATGAGTTTGTGTGTGTGTATATATATATATATATATATATATATATATATATATATATATATATATATATATATATATATATATATATATATATATGCTATATATGCTCTGAACGTTCCACTTCCTGCCTGCCCTTACAGCTGCGTCGCGTCAAAAATAGGATTCAGAGTTGCCCTGCGCCGAGACGCTTCTGGGACGCTTCTGAGCCGTAATGCTGCGTACCGGACGCGATGCGATGTTTGGGTTTACATGTAAAGTCAATGCAGAGACGCGGACAGACGCAAATTCGCTCCGACGGCGAGCATGAAGCGGTCGACGCGGCGCGAATCACACGATTGAACGGTGCCTTGTCAAACGCGAGAGTTCAATTTTTTCAACTCGAGCGTCAAATTCACGTGACGCGTTCTCGCGGAAGCCAATCAGCAGTGAGGATCTCAGCCTGCCGTCACTGACGTTCAACCAGAAAACATCAGCCGTGAGCTGTTAGCTCTCAGAGCTCACAGCTCCTCATATCTGTTCAGAAACTTGACAAAAGTTAAACAAGTACAAACCACAGACTGCCTGTGTCATGGCGAATACAGTCGCTGGTTTATTTATGTCTGTTGGCCGTTGTTATGAGTGTGGAGTGAGCATATACAACGTTAGCTTAGCCTGGTCGACCCAATCTCCATTCAGAAAACAAGCATTTTAAAAGGTTTTCCGCCTGCCCTCTTGTCTGCAGACTTGTCAAGCATTTATTCATGGTTTTTACTAACCGGTATCAGTATGTTGTTACTTCGGCATCATTTAGAAACGTGTATTACAATTAAATCACGGTCAAATATGTTCATGTTGTTGTAGCTCCCGAGCCAGCGCGTCTTGTTTGAATGATGCGAGTAAACACAACTGGCAGTCGGGTGAAACTCAAGCATTTAAAGAGCGAAGCGAATATTCGCATCGCCTCCGGTGTGAACGCAGCATAACGCGCCGCGTGTGGTGGAATAGCACCCATTGACTAGAGTGGCCGCGATCTTTGCGAACGCCGCGGCGCAGCCGTAAACGCGGCCGTAACGCGACGCAGACGGACCCGGTGGAAACTGGGGGTTAAGTGTTATTTGAGTTATGACAACATTATGGAAAGGAGACCAAAGAGAAATCTAATATTTTTCTGCACTTTTTGCTTGAGCTGGTCTATTTCTCTCATTCTGAAACCTCACGTTGTCTGATATGGTGACTTTGCAGCCTTTTTACAGCTGCCGACTGCTGCACTCTCAATCAATACAGAAATAATTTAATTTTTTTTATTCCCATGTTTTAGTGTCCACGAGTCACTCAAACATAGGAAAATAGGGTGGAAAAATACTAAGGGTATTATACTCCAAAACAAATTAATATATATTATACAACACACACATTATTTTCTGCCTCGGACTGTGGCTGTTTGCATATGTGTGTGCAGGACAGGTGATAGGAGAGTATACCTGTGTCATCTGACTTTACATAACACAGCACGGTAACATCTCGAGTGTGTGTTTGTGTGTTAGAGTGCACTTGTGAACGTAAACATGCAACATTTCTGTGTGAGAGTGTCTCTGCGAGAGTATCCGTGTTCACGTGTAGAAAAACATCTAGGTGCTCAAGCTCCTATTTGTGTGAATGTGTGTGTGTGTGTGCACGTGCATGTGTATGTGTGTGTACGTTTCACAGCAGTGTGAGGGAACGAGAGAGTCTCAGTCATGGCCCAGAGCAGATAAGCCCACACCCCTCCAGCTTTACATCTGACTCACACTGGCACAGCTGAGCAGAATATTAAACACATGCGTGAACATAGTGGATACACAAAATGGTGGCATCGGAATAACAGTTTTGCCCTCTCTCATGATGACAACAGCACATATCGTGGCCATTTCAGATCAAAGACATAAGACATTCAGCTACATATCTATCAACACATAATAGACGTTTCGGAAAAAGGGATAGAGAGTAAGAAGTGTAGTTATTTATATTGGCTGACAATAGTGTTGTTGAGTCAATCATCTTGAGTTCGATTTCAAAGATATGGTGGCCGACAGGTGAAAATGTGTCCCCAAACCCTTCCCCTAGGAGAAACGCGCTGCAAAAACACATGTCAATGAAAACATCAAAGGCTGACAATAGAAAAATGCTGGTAGAAGCACAAAGGAATCCAGGGGACACTAAAACGTGATGCACACAGCTGGGACCCCATGTTAGGGGATTATAAAGTTGGACAACTGTCACGGTTGGCACAGTAAATCTGTGTTTTATTAGTATAATTGAAATGACTAGATTAGCTACGTAAGCTCGTTATTTTACAGAAGATCTGCAATAATATCAGAACGAATCATGCAATTACATTGTTAAAATAAGCCAATAGCATTTTAATTTAAGGTAGTGAAAGATAGCCAACTTTATAATCCCTGAACGTCAACAATGATTTGCAGCGCTTTTAGTAAACGCTGCGCATGTGTTGTCAAGCTGGTGAAGTTGTTTCACATTTTGTGTTTTTTATTGTATAGTTTTTGAAACTGCAGCGTATTTTTCCTAATGAAAACGTAGTAATGCTTTTGCACCTGTCGGCCATCGTACTAATGGGCTTGAAAGCATTTTAGTTTTTATTTTAATTTCCAAATCATTTTATTGACTGACAGTTTAAAAAATACACTTTTCAGAAATCAGTCACTGTTACAGCGTCATTCAAAATTCCCATCGGTCGTTCGTATTCAATACTCAGTGCAGACATACTGTCGCTGTAAGCTCATGGTGATAAATGGCCGACATTGATCCCTTTTGTGTCCCGCTGATTGTTCAAATTCACTCCACTTTGTTGGTTTACAAGTCTGCTTATGCTCATTTCAACTAACATACACACTTTGGACAAGTTATTGTGATTTTTGTGTTTCCCCAGGAAGATAGATTTATTTGTTCTCTGATGTCAAACAGTGTTATTTCCATTTTGAATCTGTCATATTATCTCATTAACTGTATTTCTTTTTTCTCCACAGTCTCTCGAGAGCACCCGTCGTATGCTGCAGCTGGTGGAGGAGGTAAGAAACACCCAAGATGCTTTGAGTTTACGAATGAAATCTGAGACTAAATATGACACAGCGAGAATACAAATGGTGACACTGGAAGTCTATCGATTCCTAGATACATCATTTCTGTATATATACGTTTTTTTTTTTAAATACTGCGGAAGAAATAATTTACTTGTCTTGGGCATAATCCGGAAACTCACAGAAATTTGGTGACATTCTGATAATTTGTTGAGATGCATGTGATAAGGCAGACACAACCCCCTTTGGAGAAGACAATATTTTCAGTTATGGGAAGCATCCAGACATCATTCGAAAGGACTCATTTTGCAACAACCAAAAGTGTATACAGCTATCTATTTAGAAAGCTAGACATATTAAAGTAGTGAAACGTTTTTTTGTGATTTGTTCTACCTGGGGTAGGGGCATCTCAACTTTTAGGGGCCCTAATTCATCTACTAAAATAGAATTCACAAAATATTAGCATTAAGTAACCCAATTGTTATACTTCACGCATGGTTTGATTCCTAATTGAGAAAAAATGACAATTTCATCGAGAGATGCTTTACATTATACAAAATGACAATACAATGCTTAGTCCTGCTTAAATTGTGAACATGAGGGAGCCAGCATTGACAATTACAGATTTTACACAATGTTCCCCATTTGTCTAATTTTAAAACAAAGAACACTATGCTGTTCTTATCAGTGGAGGAAGGAGAGCACAACACTATAGCAACACACATAAAACACACGATTATGAGACAGTCTCAGGAGAGGAGCTACATGTGTACTGTAGTATACAGCAAGGATACTAAGAGCCTCATCTCTGGAAACCTGGTTGCACCACAGTAAATCTGTGACAGTGGCTGTGGTCTCCATGAGAAGATTACAATTCTGATACGACCAGTTGCATGTTATCCCCTCCCTTTATCTTTTACTGTATTTCCTGTCGATCTTTACCTAACCACACTTTGCGGCTTTACTATAATAATAAATATAATAATAATATAAATAATAATAAATAATAATAATAATAAATAATAATAAATCAATATAATAATATAATAAATATAATAATAATAATATATATAATAATATATAATATATAATATATATAATAATATATAATATATATAATAATAAAGGGAAATAAATAAATAAGGAGACAACGTAAACACTTATAAAGATAATATTTTTTTATTTCAAAGTGAAAAATCAGACTGCATTGCAAACTACATTTTAAAGGAACATTTTGAGATATATATAGATTGAATACATTTACAATGTTAACTAACTCTCAGCAATGAAGCAATTTAGCACGTTTACCAGAATGAGAACTGTTCCTTAAATACTCTGCTGCTAGGTACCAGAAGACATTTTAGTATTATTATTTACTTTTGTATAGACCTGGAATGAATTTCCATAGGACTGTTAACTAGCTAACAATAGCTTTCACAGATTACTTGTTGACCAATCAAACTACTTTTAGGTGAGGTCACCTCGTTGATTTCTAAAAATATACGATCCAATTACATTTTTCATCTTTAACAAGCTCAGGGTTTCTCTCTTCTAATTGCTTAAAGAGTCAGACAAGATTGAGTGAACCATGATTCAACTGAGTGATGGCATGTATACCATTACAGGAAATTAATTCAATTAAATCCGAAACGACACACCCGTGAGCAGACTCTGTCGATTCTTATTTGCCTGTGCCAATAAATAACACTGTAATAGATTGAGAGTGATAGACAAGGAGAACAGAAAGCCTGATGTGACACAAGCAGACAGAGATGGAGGGAAGTAGGACATTAAAGAGAGACAGCGTAGACAGCTGGGGTTGACTGCGTCTGACAAGCAGATCTCAAGGTCACATTGATCAACAGCCGACATATCAGCCCCCCCCCCCCCCGTGACTGTGCTGCAGGCAGGGAGATTACAAAATTGCGTTATATGCTGTAATGCTGAATACAGGCTTTTATTCTCCTCATTGTAAATAACATTTGGTCTATTTTTGACTCAGAAATGTCTTAACCAGTTGAAAGATGTAAGATAATTTAATGGATTGTATAGATGATGAGGTGGTTAATTACAATGCACATGATTTGAATTACATTTTAGAGCTCAATTCATGCTAGTTGCTCTTGAAGAATTATGAATCCTTTAAGTTGAAGCACACCCCACCAAATCTTAAGGCTGTAACTATATATTCTACAAAAAGGCAACTGCCAAAATGCATGAATCTATCCAGCTGATTTGAATTAGTAAATCCGCATTGAACCACTTCCAGTCCTGTATTGGATCATGGTTGAGTTTCCCTGGGGACTCATTTCCACTACTTTGGGATTCTGCTTTGACACGCCTTACCTAATTACAGAATAATTTATACTCCAGAGTTTCCTTATTGCACCCCCCACGCTTTCCTCCCAAACTGCTGAGGTGGCAAGGGATATATTAATGTGTAACAGTGTATGTCAAGTGTGTGCCTGACACACCATAATCTTATTTATGTGAATCAGGACCGACCAGGTGCCACATCTTAGTGAGACGGCGCTGCATTTCTAAGAAGCAGAGAGGAGGAAGAGTTGTATAAGCAAGTATCGCTATACTCCTCCTCCTCACACTCTTTCTACCAGCATCAAAACCTGTAGCCAACACAGCCATCAGTGACTAAAGGCTTTAACTGTGGCACTCATGCTAGCTCAGCTGCTCTGATGGTTTACAGTTGGGAAGGATTTAAATGTATCTGAAGGGGGAAAGAAGACCAACAGACATTCTACATTTAAAATGTAGGGCAGTAGAAAAATAGTCCTTCTTACAAGTTGCAATCAATACTAATGTGTAGTCCAAAGGTCATCAGCTGCTGAGTCGTAGACAGAAGGGGTGTTGGGATCCTGGGTTATTAATTGTTTAATTTGTACGAGGAAATCCAATAGAAAGGTTTTTAATTTTAATGAGATATCTTTTCTTTTTTTTCTTTTTTTTAAACTTTTATTTATCCAGGTGTATCCCATTGAGATCATTGATCTCTTTTTCAAGGGAGACCTGCTCAAGTAGGTTCCACATGAAACATAAAAACATAAACAGAACAACAAAAAGGACATCTTACAGCATCATTACAGGGATTTACAATTTACATAACTATCCACATGAACAGGTACCAACAGCTTCCGATTGACTAGCATCCAACAGAGCTTTAAAAACATTTAGTGGCACCAGATTGCTCAGTTTCCATTTCAGTTGCAGACTATTCCAAGACAGTGGCGCTGCACATCTAAATGCCATCTTCCCTAAGACAGTCCTAGCAGTTGGCACATTCAATAAAAACACAGCATTCGATCTCAGGCAGTAGCCACTTACAATTTTCCGTGAGATCAGGGAGCAGATGTAGGATGGAAGTTTCCCTAACATGGCTTTGTATATAAAAATGTACCAGTGACTGAGCCTCCGTACAGTTAGTGAAAGCAAACCAGCCCTTGCATACAGGGTACAGTGATGGGTTAATGCTTTACAGTTTGTCACACATCTTAGTGCACTGTGATACGCAGCATCTAACTTGACCAGGCAATTGGCAGGTGCATTCATATAGATCAAATCACCATAATCCAGCACAAGTAAAAAGGTCACAGTGACTAGCCTTTTCCTGGCCTCAAGCGAGAAACAGGACTTATTTCTGTAGAAGAAACCTAGCCTAACCCTCAGCTTTTTAAGCAGGTTATTGACATGAAGTTTAAAAGTGAGACAATCATCAAGCCAGATACCAAGGTATTTGTAACAGGCAACAACTTCAAGTTTTATTCCTTGCGTAGTTACAATATCCAAAGCAGTCTCTGGTGTATTTTTAGCTTTAGCTTTAGAAAAGAGCATTACCTTGGTTTTATCCACATTTAAAAGAAGCTTTAATTCAGAGAGCTGAGTCTGAATAATGTTAAAAACAGCCTGTAATTTAACACCAGCCTCCTTAATGGAGAGACCTGCACAGCACATCACGGTATCATCCGCATAAAAATGTAAAGTAGCTTCATCCACATTTTCACCTAAACTATTAATATAGATAGAGAATAATAGCGGACCTAAAACAGAACCTTGTGGTACACCATTAGCAATGTTTAACCACTCAGAAGACAGCCCATCAAACTGAACACATTGGGACCTTTCAGAGAGGTAGTTTTCAAACCACCCCACTGCATGGCTGGACATGCCTATACTGGCTAGCCTCTGCTTTAAAATGTGATGATCGACGGTATCACGCTTTGGACAGGTCAATAAATAGAGCTGCACAGCTCTGCTTATTATCTAAAATACTCGCCACATCATTCACCACTTTCATTGTGGCAGTGATGGTGCTGTGTTGCTTTCTGAAGCCTGACTGATGTTTAGACAGGATGTCATTTGTACATAAAAACACCTTTACCTGTTCACTCACTAGGCGTTCAAGAACCTTAGCCAGAACATCTTCTCTGCAGTCAGCATTTTTATTGTTAATCTCCTGGGTGCCATTTCAACTTTCATGCTTGAGTTGTGTTGACAGAATTACCTTTGCCTTTTTTAATCAATACCAACATGCTGAAACAGGGAATATGAAAAAATCCTAATTTGCTCATTTCGGACGACAGAAATAACAAAAAAAGTATCCCTGGGTATCGTGATGTTCTAGGCTCTTGTAGATGACAATATATTTTGTATTGTGTGACATCATGGGTAATGGTTGATTACTTAAAAACATATGGGTCTTTATGTTTCCAATTTGTAATTCTCTATCTCTACATTGATTTTCAAGATGTATGTTGTTCCCTACTGTAGATATTTAATGGAATAGTTTAACCTTTTGTGGTATACAATACTGTAATTATAGTATTTATTTACTAATTATAATTAGCTTTCTTGCCACGAGCGAGCTGAGAAAAAAAGACTACAACTGTCAAGGATATATGGTAAATTCTAAGCTAAAGCTAGTTGAGGTACACTTAACATATGGACGGGAATCAGTGGCTAACAGCTAGCTCATTTCCAAAGGTTAAAGACCAACACTGCTAATGTCGCTTTCCATACTGCTATTGTAGCCTAGCTAGCAGTGGCGTTCTCACAACCTAACCACTTGAACTCAATGCTTATTGTGTAGGCTACACCATTTCCCATGTTGTGAAAGGTTCATTGGAAGACCACTAATAACCCACTAATTAACCCAGTATATCATATTTCTTTATGGCTTCATGTAAAGTTACCTGCTGGAACTATTTTTTTCCGAGCCAGGGACTAGCTAGAGACAGCAGTTTCATATTGAGCGAAGAGACATGTGAATGATGAACTTTTCATCTAAAACTCTATAAACAATATAAGTGTATTTCCAAAAATATATAACCATTTCCTTAATCATGACATCATAAAACTTGTCACCATTTTTAAATGTAATGCATGCGGATAAACCTGGACTCTCTTTGTTGTTGTGCTAGCATTATTGCAGTAGAAGAATATAATATCAAAGAAAGCAAAATAGTGATAAAGAACACTGACTAAGTTCATGTTGTTTTAATCTGCTAAAAAGAAAATATGGTTCAAAAGGGAAAAAGTTGAGGATGGGTAAATTGCTTAGGAGCTCACATTTTTCAGCAGCAACTGATTCCCTAAACTGTTGTGGCCTCATTACTGACCTTTATTTCGTTTTGTTTGTCCTCCCTCCCTCCCACTTCCTTTCTACCTGGCGGTCTTTGGGGAATAGAGCAAAGATGCTGGCATCAGGACTTTGGTTATGCTGGACGAGCAGGGAGGTAAGTCTGTGAGAGGGGAGATGGCGGCTTTAGTAACATGAAATAACTGAGCTATTCACATATAAAAAAGCTCATACTTTAAATAAAAAGTAAAAGATTGTGTTGACATTAGCAGAACCACAGGGGACATTACCATTTACAATAGTAATGTTGATGATAAAAATGTAAGGTATCAAAACACTTGTGATTGGATCGATTGTTTCACATGCAGTTGCTTGTTTTCATTTAAATGCATATCCAAACTAATTCATATTTTGAGGACGTCAAGGGTTTAACTTTGGGGAATTTCTTTCTTTCAGCTACCTTCAACCTTTGTTTCCTTTGTTTAACATATTCTTTTTGATTTGCCTAACTGCTTTTGATTTGCCAGCAGCTTTTTGTTATGCTCAACAAAGACAGAGAATAAAAAGTGCCAAACATTAACTATAAGGTATATTTAATAAAAGCCACTTCAGTGCCAAAACCCTACAGCTCAACATCGAGAGAATTTATTCATTTTCCAGAACTCAGTTGGGTTGGCGTGTTTGTCACTGTGGGAGCCTATGGCGAAGGACTACTGGGCTGTTCTTGGATGTTAAAATTATAAAAAGGCAGTCATGTTGGTTTCACAGATTCAGTTAAATTGAATTCAATGCCAAGAGATGTTTTTATTTTACCACATCTGCTTATAAACATTATTACAAAAGAAGTGGCAGCAGATATGCCACCTTTAAATACACCCCATTTTATAGCTCACTTCTTTACAATTTGGCCAATCTTTCTTTTCCTGTAAATACTACTGGGGGTGAAATCAGATACCCTGCTGACAGCTAACCGAGGTGTTAAAATACAAGAGGTGGATAAGAAAAACGATCGATTTAGCTGGTAATGACAAACTTTTCAATCACTCCTCAATCAACCCCCATACTTTGTACAATCCCTGGTTACATGCAGTTTTTTTATGAGCAAGCCAACAACCCTCAATGAACAACATGATTAAAGTGAGGCCCATTTCGAAAAGCCCATTCAATGGCTGTACTATTTTCATTGTTCAGATAGAGCAAAATGCCTGCACATTGCACATTTTAAAGTTAACAGTTGCAGTTTTAAACAGGGTTGACTTTGCAAATAAACAAAACTACTTGGTAAAGTTCCTGAAAAGATGATGGTTTGGCTTAAAATAAGAACGTACGTAACTTAAAATAAGTGAAAGAGTTTATGTTTAGCGTGGGACAAGAACAGCTGTCCCTGTTTTAATGTTCCTTTTTTTTTTACCAATCATTATACCATGACCTATATGGTCTTTGTTGCCCTTTATACTACGATCTTACTTCTTTCTCCAATCATAATTACTATGCAAAATAAAGGCCGGCCTCATCTTATCGTATTTATATCGATGATCAGCCATGTAAATAGATGACAGTGACCCTCAGAATTGACTAGTAGCTCCCTACTCTTATCTATGAGGCAATAACAACTGATTGTGCCCATGGAATGAGCTAATATCATCTGAAGAGGATAAAACAACTGCAACATCAAACAACTAATAGTGGCAATGTGAAACTATGAAGCAGAAGTAGTTCTTTATTGTCTATAGCAAAGGCATGGGGCTTCAGCTTTCCCATTGGCTGGGATGCTTGTCAACCTATTCACCAATCCTGTAAGATAAACCCGTAACTGCACCAACACGCTTGTTCACTCAAGGGGATAAAAGCTTAAACCCTCCTCTGACTATCCATTTATCCCCTCATCCCTAGCGGCCATACTATTCTGCCCCCGCAGAGTCACCTCTCCAAAGCTAATTGCAACAACTGACTTGATACACAAGAGGCTGTTACTCTAATCTGACCCCTGACCCTTTGTTATTGACTACATGCAGGAAGAAGAGCCTTTAGCTTTATGGACTGCGATACATCTGAGACAGTTTTTATAATGTGTAGAGCTTTTGCTATACATTTATTTTAATATAAAACCTTGAGTCACTAACCTTTGTAAAAACACTATTAATGTCATTACCCCCACTTTGCTCTAAAAACTCTGACTCAACGTGGATCCTTTCTTGGTTGAATATATTAACATAAATGAATGCCAACCAGGGATTTTACAAAATCTAAAAAACTACTTTTTGAATCAGTTCCATATTTAACTGTGCCTCACCCTTTCACACCTTGCACCGTATTTCCTTAAATCACAATCAGGATGGATCATTTATTTGTCGCCAGTGCACCACCACTTTAAAGACCCTGGCCCCCATAAACCAGAATACCATGAAAGTTTGCCAAGGCAATGCAAAGTAAGAGGCAGTTCTCTGTTTTATAATCCAGTATTCACTGAGGTATCATACTAATTTAATTCACCACATTGGAATTAGAAATAATTATCCTCAGAATTAGAAAGGGTAGCCTCATGAACAACTAAAAACAAGTTTCCCAAGCCCATGAAAGCCATATTTGTGTCCACACATTTAGATTAAAACCAGTAACTGTTATGGTGTCTAAAGTGGCTGCGATTGCATGCTCAGACCAAGAAGCATGTCATATCACTCATATTTTAGTCACATCTTATATCTAAGGAAAAGTTATTTTGAAAAGCAAAAGGGAGCAACTAAAGCTCACTGTTCTTGTAGACTAAATGAAGGAACAAAGACTTACCTTATGTGGCATTATGCTGCCAGCACATTAAACAGTTCTCAAGTGAAATCGCCTTGATCCGTAAAAATGATTACATTACATTGCATTTAGCTGACGCTTTTATCCAAAGCGACTTACAATAAGTGCGATTAAATTGACATTTTTAAATGTCAGCTATGCTAACAGCAAACAATCTCTTTATTTCTTGCTCCGTGAAAGAAAAAAGAACAATATAGGGAAAAGTTTGGAAAATAAGTATGTATTGCTTCACACTGTGATGTTAGATGAGAAGATGAATGCCACGCTTATATATGTAGCCTACACCAAATATGAAGGTACAGCTGTGTTAGCCAAGCTTAGCAAAACAACTGAAAACATAGGAGAACAAAAAGCTGGCTAGCTAAAACCTAATGTTAACAGAATTAGCCTATAAATACCGTAAAAGTGATTAAGCTGTTCTTTAAATGTAATTTTGTATAGTAGGTCCCTCCCCTTGCAACTAGCAGATTTGTTTACCTTTTGACAGAGTCAAGCTAGCTGTATTCCTATTTACAGCACTCTTTATGCTTGGCTAAGCTAACTGGCATCTTGCTCTACCTTCATTTTTATCTTACCGACAATCAAGGTATCGATCTTCTCACCTAACAATCGGCTTGAAAGCAACTGAGCGTACTCTCAAGAATATTTTAACTGACTTCAATAAGAAATTCAGATATTTACTTAAATATTATTTTATAGCCTACAATCTCTCTGGCCCAACAAGTTTGGAAGTGACAAACATAAACACCATTTCATTTTATTGCACTAAATTAATAGGAAATAAGTTCAGCCTTTATCTTTTACCCTGCACACACACACCAGAGTAAAACACATGACTCAATTACTGCTCATCATAATTCATATTTCTGTCAATCAGTCAATGAAATTCATTCCACTACTGTCATCCCTTTGTCCTGACCAGAGCAACTCGATCGTGTTGAAGATGGCATGAACCATATCAACCAAGACATGAAGGAAGCCGAGAAAAATTTAAAAGATTTAGGGAAATGCTGTGGGCTTTTCAAATGTCCGTGTAACAAGTAGGTACTGAAAATGCCCCAACGGTTCTTTACATATGTGGTGGCGTCTAGTTTTTCCTCTTTTTTTTCTTTTACTTTCTTTCGTCACAGTGAGTGTCTGAAGTTGTTGTCTTCTCTCCTTTGTCCTCTCTTTATCTCTCTCTTACTCTCCTCTTCCTTCTCCCTCTCTCTCTTCTTGTGCTTCGTTCTTTGGGGGATAAATGACTTGTGTTTAATCAGAGCAACTGGAGCGCATCGAGGAGGGAATGGACCAAATCAATAAGGACATGAAGGATGCAGAAAAGAATTTGAACGATCTAGGGAAATTCTGTGGTCTTTGCTCCTGTCCATGTAACAAGTAGGTGCTGCTTGCCTGCCTGCCTGCCTGCCATTCAAAGATCAGAATAAATATCTGAGAAATCAAAAATATAATCGAGGTAGAAGTGACATCACGATGGCCATCAGCCAATAGTCCGCTCTGCTCCATCTACAAATAAACTTTGTCCATTTCACATCCATATGGGGTGGACACTGGAGGCCATGATGTGCTTTCAAATAATGTATCTCCGATACACACACAAAATACACAGCACACTTAAATTCTAAATTGTAATTCTCCTCAATTCTTGTTTTAAGAAAAACTACAAATCAAACTTTTTTGACATATTTTTGGAAGTGTCCTGGCTTCGTCCCTCTTGACAGAGGTGTCCCATTGTCCAAATAGCATTGGTTGTTGACCATTAATGACTTAATACATCCCTTTTCTACACTCTACATTTGTCATGCTGTTTATGTTTGGTTGAAAAGTGAAAGCTAGCAAGCTCACTCTCGGAAAGTGGAGCCAAATTAGCATAGCTTGCTAATGTTAACATTGATTTTCATTACACAAAACTTGTGGTCAACTGCTGAGACGTCAGCAGCTAATACAGCTAATAAGTAAGTTGTCACCATGGCATTATGGATAGGAGTTAATTAGCTTAGCTGGTACCCTCAACTTGCACACAAGCTTTAAATGAACAATACATCTCAGTGGTGACTAAGCAACAGCTCCATTAATGCATCAACTAAATTACCACAAATGACATTGTCAGTCTCTACTAAAAAGGATTAGCAAACATACTTTAGTAGTCCATCAGTCTGAGCTATTGCTACATGATTGGCATCTGAACTACCACCTATACTTTCAAATTACAAACTGTGTAAACACTCTACCCCTACTTAGACCCAAATCCTATGACACCGGCTCAAAAAGTCCAGTCCTCAACATAAGCCCATTTCCACTCAATGAAGGCCAAGGTTATTCAATAAGTGCCTCTTTAAGCCCCCTTCCATCAAGGGCCCTTCTCCAAGTGCCCTATTCTCTAATCGTCCACTTCTCAAAACACTTTTATAATGGGAGGCATCTAAATGCTGGTGCAGCCATTGTAGAAGTCCCACTTGCAACAATTGTACTGATGCTTTCTGAACGTTTCTTTTTAACTATTACCTCTGATGGTTAAGAGGGGACTCCTACAATGATATTACTGTAGCTATTTGCTATCCCAACTTTCAAATCAGAGAGATTCAACCAAAAGAGCAGGGCTGGAGCTCCCGAAGCATTTTGGCACTCAGATCATTTTGTGTGTTTACTCCAGCTGGATATTAAGTGATCTCGGCCCCATAATGCCTTTGGTCAGCCTGGTCCAGGACTGTTTGACACTTCTCCTCATCTGCATGATCTTTACCACACCGCTCTAACATCCAGTAGATCCTCACCTCTTTGCAGGCAACAAGACTTTTTTTGTTTCCCTCTGAGCACCCCTCCTTCCCCCAGCCACCATTTTTGAACTACCAAGTGCCAATGACATGGAATGACTTGCGAGCATGACCCTTTGAATGCTCATGCATGCATGACAATGCAACTCATTACGGCAATGCTACACATGATGATGCCAAAATCATGATATTGATATTGACATTGAAGGTGATGTTGTTGATGCTGATGATGAAGAAATCTTATTATGTTGTGTTAACTATAGGCATTCCGAAGGCTGTAGGCAAAAGTTTCAGTTTAAACCAGATGCATTTGCAACAGTCAATTGTATATATTTTGTAGGAAGCAGCACAATTTCAAGTGCCGTAATAATAAAACTATTTGTGTATATTCTAATTTTAGAATGACTACAACAATATCAAATGAACATATCATAGAGACAATTTTTATTTAATTTAGTATGAAGAATAAAGAATGTTATTCTTTTTTTTTTTAAAGCAATAGATAAGAGGAAGGCGGTATATGTCAGAAATGGTGGAATGCTAGAAGAAAGGTAGTGAACCCTTCACAAGAAGACCAAAGTGACAGTATGATATGATTTAAAGCAAAGGAGAAAAACAGGAGGGATCTGTGTTGTTCTTGGGAGCTGGAAACTGGGTTAGGACAGATGCGCAGTCAGATGTTTTCAGGGATGTAGTCATGTTTGATGTGCAAATAGTACATCATGCCACTGCGCACGTACCTATTGGTAACCAGGTCTTTACATGGCTCTGTGTAGAGATTCTGTTTGAGCCCCTCTGGTTCTGCTGCAGTTTCTCTGCAGTGCCGCTCCCCTGCAGAGCGCTGTGCAAATAAGCCTTTACCCAGGCTTCAACATTCCTGTTTGCCAAGCTCCCTCTCCCGTGGGGAACTCGCTCACATGTAGGCCAGCCATATCAGAGAGTGGCATGGTAGCCGGCTGGGAAGTTGAGTTCAAATTAATGCGCATACAGACGGTTTCTAGAAAGTTAAAAAAGTTACATTTGTATCTTACGTGTCAAGATAGTATTTCAATCCTTTCAGCATGCTGGCTGTCTATCAGTTAGCTGACTCCTAGTTCTCTGCTACTTAATGCATTCGGATTCCGGCTGTCTGCATGCTGTTAGTGGTCTTTGATTGGTGGATAGGAATGAATAAGATAAGAACTATTTTAGTTTTTAGTCTACAGGATCTGCAATCCTCATATGATCTAATCAGATCATTTCAGTTCAATCACAGGGAAACTGATTAGAGGAGTGCCTGATCCCCATTATGAGACTGCAGGGAAGCAAATTGCAATTGGGACCAAACTGGATATCAAATGAAAGGAACGTGAGGAGAATTGATGTTCAATATTGGGAATCAAAAGGGAAGAGGACAGAAAAACATTAAAAGAAGAAAGCACGAAAAGAAAGGACTAGACAAGAGCAGCGTGTGTCAGCAGGGACAGGGAGCTAAACAAAGCCTCGGTCTATTTCTATAAATTAAAAAAACGGTGTAGGAGCAAGAATACATCAACACAGCACTCTGAGGATTTACAAAACTCGGTAACTGATGCTACAATACAAGCAATGAAATGATGGATTATTGTTACATGGATGATATCAAAGTATGTGATTAATTTAGGATGACCAGATGTGTGAAATGTGAAGGACATTTCTATTTTGGCAATCAATATCATTAAATTATCAAACATAATTGTAAAAAGCACTACAGTAATAATATTGGGTAAAAACGAAGTAACTTTGCAAATTTGTTTGAATATAATTGTTCTTGTTATAAGCAAAATATATATAAAAAACAATCTGAACAGCTATTTAGTGGTACTGGTAGAACGGGTAGAATAAAACAGAACAGAACATATCAAATTCAGAGTAAAACAGCATAACATGCAAACAACAGTGGTCCTTTATGTTAAATAATTAACAAAAAATAGTACAGAAAATAATTTACAGAAAGATTTACAACTAAACAATGTACATGTAGTAACCTATAGATGCATTTGTCAGAATAATCTATTTTCATCACGATGGCTCTTCTTGAAAAGACATAAATGATGATGTTGTGAATTTACTTGATAGTTTCTAGCCAAGTTTTGCCTTTGATATATATATATATATATATATATATATATATAGAGAACTAGATACAACGTTAGAGGCCGGACCCAGTTCATCCCTGGGATACACATGAAGCCAAAATGTCCTAATTCTCGAAAACAAAAATTCCTGGATCATCTGGGTCGCTGGGCCCATTGAGAACTTGTGTTTTTCTTTAGCCCCTTCTCTAATCCACCACGTCCAGACTAGTCTTGGCTCAGTCAAATGAACAGAAAGGAAAATTACTCGATTCAAATTCTATTTAATTTTACAACTTTTAGGATGTAATTATTTAAATAGGCCTATTAAATAGTTCGTACTGTGTAGTTGATTTAGCACCACAAAAAAATATACGCTGACTTAACGACGGCCCTTTCCCAAAGTTAGTCAATGGCAAAAGGGTTTTTTGGGCCCATAATGGACTACAGTATAGCGGACTTACACAGAAGTTGTAGTATCACCGTTTGGCCAATACAAAAATGTTTTTTAATGCCCAGCTCCCTTTCTAGGGGTTTGAGTTTTCTACAAATGTAGCACGAGCAAGTATATGCTACTATATAGAAGTAGAATAAGAATAGTTATATGCAGCTGCTGTAGCAAGCAGCCCCCTCTGTTGGCCAACACAACCACTACACAATATTGAGTTGTCAACTGGTAGGCTTCGCTGCCTGGTCTTTCTTGTCACATAAAATATGATTTCACTTAGCGTGTTGTATTCGACTCGCAGTTTGAAACAGGGACATTTGCTTGGAGAACAAGGATGCCTGGTCACCCTAGATTACATTTTAAGAAATATCAGTGGACTGTTTGAGTGGTGAAAGGTGTTTGGTTGTGCTGCCACGAAAAGTGCCTTAACATTTTGTAGATACAAACATGATAAAACCATAAAATAAAATAAACAATGAACCTCCTTCTCTTACCTTCCCTTTCTATCCCCGACTCTTTAGTGCCAAAACAGACGCTGAGGCGGTGTGACGTTTGACAGGCAGAGTGAGGTGACATTTACAGAGCCATGGAGCGCTGCGATTGCATATCGTGTTAGCACAGCTGTATTTGTGAGACAGAAGCAGCTACAGATTAAACAATGGGTGTTAGTGTCATCCTTAACACACTCGTTACTCCTCTGCCTCACTGCCACCTGACATCCAACTCTGAACCTGGAAGAAAAAAGCAGTGACATTTAAAAAAAACACAAAACAAAGGGTGGGGGTGTTAGAGTAGGTTAGGTCTAGTTCACCATGGTGTTATTCTCTGTTGACTACCTCCAGTTTCTTGTTTTGTTTTGTTTCCTTTTGGCAGTTTGTTCTACACATTACTCGTCGTCCATCCTAACAATGTGACAGTCCTCTGTGTTGTGTGTCTGCCAAAAGCTCGTCTCTTCTCTGTTATCTGTCACACTGGGACATGTAACTGTGGGATTGGGAGGGGGGGTCCTCATAGCAACAACACAGAACTGCCAGTAGGAATTTAACTTTCAAATAATAAGGATAAGGTATGTCACACACTGAGTCACCCAACATGTGGTAGCTAATAAAATGCATGCAAGAATATAATATATTGTGCCTGATTCTGAACAGCATGTTATACCTTACTATTGTGTAACAGCAGAATACAGCTTTACTTAAACCCAATTTACCAACCAGTCTCTGCCTGCTATGCTTTGCTTGACTTAGTCTAGTCCCCACCATATATTTATGTGCTGGATGCATGAAACCAAATAACACCCCTGTGTCAGCTGATCACATTACATATTGACATATATGTTGTTGCAGTACCTCAAATCCAAGGCAATGGGAGGAGCCTGGTTGAGGTCAATTATGATAAGGGTTAAAATGTTGATTAACTGTCCCTCCTCGTCCTCCCTTTCGCTGTCGGTGGCCAGGATGAAAGGTGGAGCCAGCAAGGCCTGGGGGAAAAACCAGGATGGGGTGGTGGCCAGCCAGCCCGCCCGCGTGGTGGACGAGCGTGAACAGATGGCCATCAGTGGAGGCTTCATCCGCAGGTAAGAGAGCAGCTTCAGGTTTACGTATCGAAACACCTAGGGAGAAAGGGAGAAAAAAGTATGTACTGAAAGGTATGTATGAACATTGGAGGAATAGGAGTGTCCGTGTTGGGGTTCGAATACATTTCAGGTTGAAAAAGAACAGGAAGAGACCTACTCGAAGTTACCGAAGTGAAGAAATACTGTAAAAAATGTCAAAGTTAAGACATGGAGAAGCTCTTGGTGCAATCCTTGTCAACCCAAACAGTCCAGAAGCCATCAAACGAATCGTGGAAACATTGTTGATGGAAACTTTGCCCAAACACTCCTAAAGCCTTTAACCCTTGTGTTGTGTTCAAAAGCTGTTACCGTTCATGGTGTTCGCGGGTCAATTTTGACCCATGATTTATCTCAGTCCAAAACACACACAAAAATTACTATCATCCAATATTGTTTTAACTAACATCATAACTAACTTATTATGCATTCATAACCGTACAATCCTGTTGTAATTTAATGTTATGGCCCTTAACACATTACACCACATATTGCACATGTGCATATTTGTGTTCAGGTTCAAGTGTTAGTGTACATATTCTTTGAGAAAGGTGGAGTTCCCGTCGGGGGAGGGGGGCAGAGGGAGGGGAGACCAGGTGCATGTTGCGAAAAACTATTGTTACAGTGGATGAAGGGGGAGGGGTGTCTAAAGTCAAAGATGAATCTTGATTGGGCCAAATTTGACCTCGAGTCACCCAAAACAATTCTGCTGGGTCTCCCCAGACCCGAACACCAAATTATACACTTTTTTTAGAGACCCTCAGATTTGGCAAAAATTGTCAAAATCAGTTTTGTAGTGTTTATATAGCTGTTGTGGAGGATATCATGAAGCCTTGTTCCGATACAAACAAATAGAGCGTAGTTATTATATAATTTTAACTTGAAACGGGTCACGGGAGACCCGAACACAACATAAGGGTTAATGGAAACGTTGTCGACAGATACATCCTGATGCAGACAGGTTTTGCTAAAGCACTTCACTACACTCCAGATATTCTGTCGGACTAAGAAATCCTGGTTTACAGACAATATCTACTTTTGATATTAGATACAATACTGAATACATGTTGATTACATTTTACAACATTGTGTCACATCATGTTATATTAAATGATCCCATTACAACAGAAGGAGAAAACATGGCGCCCTGGTAGTTGACCTGGTAGAGCAGGCACCATGTTCTAAGACATTAACAGCAGTGTTGGTTACAATCTGATCTGTATCCCCTTGTTTCACATCATTCTCTTCCCCTTTTCTTTATAACTTCTAAGTATCCTGAGACTGGTATTCATTGGTGGTTTTGAAGAGTAAACATTCAGTTTAGCAAAGGCAATTTAAATAGTTAAGACGCTTACATTTTGGTTTTACCTAGTTGTCCAAGATATTATTTTTAGTCAGCGTCATTTCAGGGAAATAAAGTAACCTTACTGTTAGTAATTTCAGTTTGTGTTATACAGTAATGTCATAGTTAAGACACAGACCCATACCAAATGTCCGTGATATATTTATTTTTATTGTTTTCTCAATTTATATTCAATCTGTATATAGAATTGAACCAGTGCTGGAAACTTGGCGATATCAAATGTAGTTGTGCACAGGATCCTCCTACTGTCATGGTCTGAGGTCATGCCCTGATCTTCAGAGACTAGAAAAAGGATCAGAGGTTCAATGTGGATGTGAGAGTCACAGAAGGAGCAGGCATCGCCTTGCTCCACCTTTTCATCGTGGCAATATGTGGTTCAAGGTTCTTTATTTAGTCATACCAACATAGCTACAGTGTAGTTATGCCGATGAAAATATTGTGTCACAGGCTTCTCCAACAGAGCAACACAAAACACAGATAAACAGAAAAAATATAGTGCAAGTAAATAGTAATACAAAAAGAAAAATAGTGTGTTTGACCTAGTGTTTATGCAGACGACACAGTGTTTAAATCTGCCCTTGTGTGTGTGTTTGTTTAGGGTAACAGAAGATGCCCGGGAAAATGAGATGGACGAGAACCTGGAGCAGGTGGGTGGCATCATCGGTAACCTGCGCCACATGGCCCTGGACATGGGCAACGAGATCGACACCCAGAACCGCCAGATCGACAGGATCATGGACAAGGTATGACACGACAAGATTTCATAGCATTGTTATCTTACATTACAGATAATTTAGATATTTATAAAGATTAAGGTTTTTTATGTATTGTTCTTTATGCATATAATCACTTATTTAAGCCAGTTTTGACTCTCTATGGGATTTCAAATGTATTATTTGTAAAGATAGAGATAATGTTAATATTTCCCCTTTCCTAAATAGTTTCCCGTAAGTACCTGATTAATTTACACTAAGGTTAATATTTTAGTTTTGAACAGATTATCTGGCTAAAACTTAATGACAAAAGATTACAGTCCTGGTTGATTTGGCAAAACCTTATTTCTGGTGGTAAGAGAAGATGTGGTTTAATGCTACAGGTTCCAGCATACCTGGGCCTGCAACGTAAACTATTGTTGTTTTAGTTAAGAAGTCAGGCAATAGAGTGGTGCAGGAATGAGTTCTAAAAGCCGGAAATTAGTTAGCATTTTTCCACTTACGGTTGCCTGGTCTGGAAAGAAAATGTAATCTTTGTTCAAGCAAACACAAACTTAGGAGATTTCCCGTTTTATTCTACGACATAACATATTGTCAGTTAATACCACATTCATGACTGTCAGAAGCTTCTATGAGTCTTAATAACAGCGGTTGCTACCAAGTGACTAAATGTGTCTACTAAATGTCATCACACCTAACATTAGCCGCCTTTAGCTTAGAGTTGGTGATGCGAACCATGTGAGGCCAAATTGCATACACCTTGTTAAACTGCCATCTTCCATCTCCATCAACTTGTAGCAATAGCACGACCACCAGCAAACAGTACCAAAGTGTTCTTGTAAACCTGACTTAAAAATACCACAAAACAATCAAACTGATATTCTAACCTTCACCCTTTGCCCCTTTTCTTTTACCCAGGCTGATTCCAACAAGACCAGGATTGACGAGGCTAACCAGCGCGCCACAAAGATGCTGGGCAGTGGCTAAACACACCGAGCCCAGAGCGCGGTGGTCCCGGCGTCCCGCGCCACACATCTACAGGCGCTGACATGCTTTCATCATGGTATTGACCTTCTAGGTTTGCACACATGCACATATCACCTCCCCTTCCCATTGTAAATGTTGTTCTGTGTGTCGTCTGTCGAGCTTTTTCAAGATGATTGTCCTCGTAAAAAGATGATTTCTTATACTCCGTATATCATTCTTTCCAAAGGTTGTATATAGTGCTGACTTGATGGCTCTCTAGCTCACCTGTGAAGTTTTTATTCTCTTTATCGAAATATATATATCATATATTATTATCTATCATATATAATATAGATATATATATATATATATATATTAAAGTACACTGCTCTGGATGATAAGTATATAATAGGAATGCTATACAAGATGTTTGTTTCTATTGTTTTTCCTTATTAGTATCTCAGTATCGTCTTAGTAAAATTGTGTCATTCCATTTAGGCTACTGACATGCTCCTTATTTTGGTGTTGTCACGTCAAAAAGGGATAAGACATAAGTTAAGAGACAATACAGGTGAATGGGATTGCAAAGAGCACTTACAATCAAAAGGCAGTCGTTGGTACATTTTCCTTCATCGCAATCATACTGAGTTACTGTTCTGACAATGTGCAACTAGACTCTCTGTAGCTGTATTAGACATTGCATTCCAAGTGATGTGAATTGTGCGTTCTCTGCATGACAAATGGTAGATTTTAGTCTTATAAATAAAACCTGTCTGAAAAATATATATAAAAAATGATAACATGGCAGTAGCAAATTGACAAAACGCATGCTCAGTATTAGGACACAGTTGATCCTTCCATACTCCTGCAAGTTTGCAATATTGCTACTCTTTTTGTCTCGATATATTTACCAACTGTGACCATCTCGTTGTAAAATAATGCAAAAGGGATCTAAAAAGTGAGTTAAAGATGAAAACATATGAGGACTTGGGGTTGTATTGCAAAAACAATGACCTGTTTTCTAAATGATTATGCAGTTCAGTGATGAAGATGTTGATTATGTGCTGAAAGATGAGGACTGGTTGTGTACTGTAACATAGGTTTTGGATGCTCTGAAAGAAAATAAACGTTTGCAATGTAAAGCAAAGAGGCATATTTCTGAGAGACCTTACTTTTATAAGAAGAATGTATCTGTAAGTTTATTCTCCGCGTGTCGTTTGTTAATGGTAAAAATAAGGATAATATTGAACAACAATAACTATACTCTGAAACAAAAAAATACATACAAAGGTTTTTTTTGTTGCTTCTGTACTTTAGAGCTATGCACACCAAATCGCCAAAATGTCAAGTAGTTAGAGTAAGGTGATTAAATACCTAATCCTGAATGACACAATAGGTTAGACCGTGAGATTGATGTCCTCAACGCATGTAATATTAAAGACTCCCTCTCTGTATCCTGTCAGTGTGTAAAGTGGTGGACATTTTGTAGCTAGCTGCATTGATTAAAAGTAATAAACCCTAGCCGTGTCTGTCTTTATTGCTCCTGTGAGTTGACAGTCTCTTTCTCTAAGGTCCAGGGTAATATTTAAAGAGAAACACCACTAAGGCTATGCATTTTAGCATTTATATTAGTTATTTTTGTCCTAACTGCTCTAAAACTGGCATAATTTCTAGGCGTAAAGCAGCACAGGCATTTTACAAAAAAACATGATTAATGCAGTGACAGTCAACAAAATATAAGATTTGTAGAACACAGGCTCAATTTGGATACTTCCCTCAGTACACTGCCATGTTGTACACTTTGAAGACTTGCTCAGTTTATGAATTTTGACCAGAGTCATTGTCTAAAAATAAAGACGGCTGCTGTGCCTTCAATGGATATCTAGCAAGCAACATTTTGGTTTGCAAATCATTGCAGATTACACAATTAACTCAATTAAGACAACAGTTTAGGAGTATGTTTAAAAAGAAAAATAATTATATTTGCAAAGTACTTTGTTTCCAAAAAAAAAATGTTTCACTACTGTCTGTTGGGGGGGGGGGCTCATCTCACAATGTCGCTTGGGGCCCCAAGTTGGCCAGGGACGGCCCTGACTCTCGGCCCCCCTTTTGGCTTTCTGGCACCTGGTCACCCTACGCGTAGCTTCTGTTAGCCAAGATGGCGTTGAAGGTGAGAAGTATCCAGCGTTACCAAAAAACATGATCATTACAATGACAGACAACAAATTATATGATTTGTATAGGCTTTGTGCAGACACATTATCACTTTGGATCAAAGAAATGACCAAGATGCATCCTCTATATTTTCCCAAATCATCAAGCTATAAGACCATCACTCAGTCATATGTCTGAAACCGAAACAAAAGTGTGAAAATAACACGTTTTGGTTTTATGGAGGGTTATGTTATGTTTGCATTCTATATGCTAAGCTAACAGGCGGTTGGTTGTTCCTATATATTTAATGTACAAACAGAAGAATGGTTAAGATATTCCTATCTAAATATCCACAACCAGGTAAAGAAGCCTTTTTCCAAAAATGTCAGACGAAACATGACATTTTCAATTAGTTTGAACATCCTTACTAACATATGTCCTCGGTTTAATGTTAGCATTTACTGTAGCCTACTAGGAGTACCCCACACTGTACTAGGTGTCAAAATAATGTCACCTGCGTGGGGCCAAAACATTGTTAATCACAAGGCTAATGGAAATTAAAGTGCAGCATGGACATCCACTTGTTTTAAAGAAATCCTCAATGAAAAAAGCTGCTAAAAAATAGAGTTTGTTTATTAGTTATTTAGCATAATCCATTTTCAACAGTACTGTTAACATTTGTAAAGCTTTATGGACTAAATATGGCTATTCAAATACAAGATACCATAATCAGGCAGTTTAGCACCATCTGGTGTGCACACAGAGTAGTACTTATACAGTCCCTGATATGTGGAGATGTGGTTCATTCAAAATGTTTGATCAGAATATATTTTAAGAGGGGAAAAACGTTTTGACATGCGCCATCATATTTAGAAATGTGAAGAGTCTTTGATCGCTTTTTGAGAGGTCATCAGCTTTTAGGGGGTGGTGATACATGAGTTATACATGAGTTATACAGGAATACCGCCTCTCCCCACTGAGTCTAGACACACTGAAGATCTGCATAGATTTGACGTGGAGTTCGGATTCTCCTGGAAAGAACCCTTGGCCCTGGATGTGAAGAGAACTGGAGGTGAGTGGGAAATTATTTTGTACTGATATATCAAATGACAGCAGCAGAGAAGAAAAGGACAGTATTGATATGATTCGCTAATGGAGATCATGGCAAAATCTGATTGGTTTATCCAAGAGAGTGAAGGGCCATAGAGAGCCGAAGTCCCTCCCTTTCCGGTGGAACTCCATGGGACCTTATTTCAGAAAAATTATGTATTGAAGTCATCGGCGAGAGAAAAGTTATCTTTCGATCCCGTTTGAATTGTGCCATGAATTACACATATGATGTTTGTCAATCTTAAAAAATCATTTCCAAGTAAAAAAAGTCACAGTTTGTCATAAAACTGTGAAGTTACACTTATTTGTATGCCATGTAAAGCCATAATCAGACAATTGAAATGTAATAATAAAACCATCATTACATAACGAATCTTATACCTGTAGTTGATTGTTTACTCTAGAGCCATGCAAGGAGCGTCTGGAAATGTGTTCGGAAACTTAAAGGAAATTCCAAATACATCAGCAAAGACAAGCTACACATTCGTTCCTGCTACTCCCAGCGCAAGGTTCAAACCGAGATCTCCAGAGTTATATAAAAGTGGTTTTGCCACTAGTGTATCCCCAATACCTCAGAAAGAAAACTGTAACCGACACAGTGACACATCCCAGTTAAACCGATGCATCTACTGTAAAGGATAACATCATCTTTCTGCTTGCAATCAGATTCTCAAAAACAACCACAAAGAGAAGTTGGAATTCCTCAGAAGCAAAGGACTTTGCTTTGGATGTTTGGAAAAGGGCCACATGAGTAAAGGATGCAAACAAAGACATACCTGCAAAGAGTGCAATCTCACACACCCCACTCTGTTGCATTTCAGTAATATCGAGTCGAGCAAAGGAAAGGTAAAGACTGTTGCAAATGCTTTAGTGGATATGGATAAAGATGATTCACGGGAGGAGGATATTGGGGCCGGTGAGCCTGAAGGCACCCTGGCTATCGTTCCTGTGAAGGTGAAAACAAAAAAGAGTAATACCATCATAACAACATACCCCTTTCTGGACCCAGGTAGTACGGCTACCTTTTGCACAGAGTCCATTCTACAGCAGCTTCTAGTGACTGGACGCAACACGGAGATACTCCTACGAACAATGAATAAAGAGGAGTCAGCTAAAACATCTGTTGCATGTGACCTTGAAATATGTGGTCTTGAAAGTAACCAGTATGTAGCACTTCCACCTGTTTATTCCCAAAACAAAATACCAGTACGAAAGGCAAATATTCCCTCTCAGGAGGACGTGGAACAATGGGAATACCTGAAAGAGGTTAATATACCACAAATTGATGCAGAGGTTGGCTTGCTAATTGGGTGCAACGTGCCCAAAGCTCTAGAGCCATGCAAAGTCATAAACAGCCAAGGGAATGGCCCATACGCTGTTAAGACCATTTTAGGTTGGACAATAAATGGACCTCTAGAAAGGTCAGATATGACTCGTTGGATTAAGCCACTCGTTACAGCAAACAGAATTTCTGTTGTGGAAATCGAGGAATTGTTGAAGCAACAAGTGAAGCTGGACTTTCCAGAACATCAACACAAGGAGCGTCTGGAAATGTTGTTAGAGTTTATTGAAGGATAAATGTGTTTTCATAATGTATTCTCATAAATGTGTTAATGGAGGAACAGAGAACAGTCTGTTCAAATGGCACACATACACACACACACAGATTCACATGACTGAGAGTCACAAGATTCACACTAACAAATAAGGCGTTGGTCAACACCACATGATTGTCATGTTACTGTATTGTTGAAATAAAAAGAATGCACTGAGAGAAGGCGAGCAGAGTTGGTTAAGGAGTGGACATTGCATGTCACTCGCCGATTCTCCTTGCAGCAAGTAAACTTGAAACTCGAGTACTGTTATCACTGTTCACTGGATTTTGGTATTGAACCGAGCTGGGGTTTTACCCTTACAAAGTAATATAGATACCCCACAAATGTCAAGAGAGGATCACAAGTTCATGGAAAGTGTCTCTAATTCTGTCAAGTTAGTAGACGGACACTACAGTATTGGACTGCCATTAAAGGAAAAAGGACTTGATTTTCCCAATAATATACGTGTTGCTGAACAAAGAGCTTTGAACCTAAAAAGAAAATTCCAACAAAACAACAAATTCTACAAGGAGTACATAGAGTTCATGGCGGATGTTGTTGATAAAGGTTTTGCCATCAGAATGACACCTGAACAAAAAGACAAGGCAAATCAAAGCAAAAGGAGCTGGTATATTCCACACCACGGTGTGTACCATCCAAAAAAGCGTAAACTGAGGGTGGTTTTTGATTGCGGTGCAACTTACCAGGGCACATCTCTGAATGCACGTCTTCTCCAAGGCCCAGATTTAACCAACAGTCTTATTGGTGTCCTTACAAGATTCCGGTAGAAGAACATTGCATTCATGGCAGATATTGAAGCCATGTTCCATCAGGTCAAGGTGCCAGAGGAAGACTCAGATCTTCTCACATTCTTGTGGTGGCCCGATGGAGATCTCAGTAGTGAGCTAGAAGAGTACCAAATGGTTGAACACATCTTTGGAGCAACATCCTCGCCTAGTTGTGCCAACTTTGCCCTACAACAGTGTGCAGGAGACAATGTGGATGACTTTAGCCCAGAGGCTGTCTCTTCGATGCTAAGACATTTTTATGTGGATGATTGCCTAAAATCAATGGAAGACGAGAGGAAGGCAGTGATAATCGCTCACGAACTTAAAACCCTGTGCAGTAAGGGTGGTTTTAAGTTAAACAAATGGGCAAGCAACAGCAGAGCTCTACAAACAATACCAGAGGAAAGTAGATCAAAGGAAATCAAGGATCTGGATAAAAATACCCTGCCTGTTGAAAGAGCTCTAGGAGTTCAGTGGTGCACGGAAACAGACTCATTCCCAGTGGCGTTTTTATATGTACAAAAGTGGTGGGGCACAAAAAACGTAGATGTCTATAAGCTTCTGCAGTGAGGTTCATGGCTGGTGAGGCACTGGCACTGACTCTTCAGGTTTCCAAATATTATATTTTGACCTAAATCAAAATATAATATTATTTTCAAAAGCTTTTTTTGTCTGATGCTTCAATTAATTTTAAACAGAAGGATACCCAAAAAAATGTAATTTTATCATTTAAATATTGAATTGTTCTCTCTTAGTAAGATCCCATTTTCAATAAAATTGCAGTCTTACCTTGATTTGAAGATTAAGTCCATTGGCCTATCCTTCTGGACAAAAATCTCTATTACTTTTTTGTAATCCTCCTTATCTTCTTGTA